GTCTTCTATTGGATTAATTAAGTTCTGTCTCAGCAGTTACAGATTGTTTTACTATTCCATTAGAGGTTCCCTTTACATTATTAATATGCATACTTGCATTAAAATTTCAAAAGCTAATCAGCTCTTCTTCCTAGACAATATAAGTACTATCTAATGTTTTTATTATAATTACTACCCTCCTATCGTCTATGTTGGAGTCCTGGTGGGGCGCTGTGGGTTAATGTGCCAGACTGCAAAGCCGTTTGAACTACAAGTGGGTGGTTCAAGCTCACCAGCTGCTCCTTGGAAACCCTATACAGGGTTGCTATGGGTCGGAATCGACTCGCCGGCACTTGACAACAACAACATCGTCTATGTTGGAATTTTAGTGTGGCACTGTAGAATAAGCACTGGACTGCTAACCACAAGATTGGCAGTTCAAACTCATCAACCTCTCTTAAGAAGCTCTATTCTGGGTTGTTATGAGTTGGAACTGATTGTTTAACAACAACAACAATATCTTCTCAGTTAAAAGTCTTGGTGGCTCAATAAGATAGGCACTGAATGGCAAGCCTGCCATTCACTCTGTTGGAGAAAAAGGAGGGATGCTTTGAGTCAAAATGGACTTGATGGCAGTGGACTTGGGCTTATCTTCTATATTATTGTTGTATATTACTGGCGGAGCTCTGGTAGCTTAGTGGTTATGAGTCGGGCTGCCAACCTCAAGATCGGCAGTTTGAAACTACCAGCTGCTCTGCAGGAGAAAAATGAGGCTTTCTGCTCCCATTAAGATTTGCAGCCTCGGAAACCCTATGCAGGGTCACTATGAGTCGGAACCGACTCCACGGTACTTAACAACAATTACTGAATTCTACAAATATACTCCCAAGAGTCCTGGTGTGGCAATGTGGGTTAATGCGCCAGACTGCAAAGCTGTACGAACTGCTAGGTTGGCGGTTCAAGTTCACCAGCTGCTCCTTGGAAACCCTATACAGGGTCGCTATGGGTTGGAAGTGACTCGACGGCACCTGACAACAACAATAGTCTCTGATAGTGTAGTGGTTACGAATCAGGCTGCTAACCTCCAGCTTGGCAGTTTGAAACTAGCAGCTGTACTGCGGGAGAAAGATGATTCTTTCTGCTCCCGTAAAGATTTACTATGTAGGGTCACTATGAGTCGGAACCGAATCCACGGTACTTAACAACAACAATAGTCATGATTAGTATTTTTAAAACATTGTTGTTCATTCATATTTGCCTAAATGTCTACCCATTTTCTTGTATATTATTGCTTCTAGCATTTCCCTCCCCTTTCTGCACTCATTTTCTTTGCCTTGAAGAACAACCTTTTCTAGTTCTTTCAGCATGGGTCTCTGAATAGTAACTTCTCTTAATCCTTTATTGTCAAGAACTAATTTCATCCACAATTCTTGTGGAGGTAAAAAGCATCCAGAGAAATATACACAGTGTAAAACACACAATTTATACATTCCACGACTGCCAAGGTTCCTGTCATAGAATGGTGATGAGGGGGGAAGGAGGAGTTCTTGGCTGCTAACGGAAAGGCTGGCAACTTGAACTCACCCAGTGGCTCCAGAGGATCTGCTCCCATAAAGACGGTTGTTATGAAGTGCTGCCAAGTCAGTGCTGACTCACAGAGACCCTGTACAGAGGTTCTAAGGAGCGACTGGCGAGTTTGAACTACTGACCCTGCGGTCAAGTGGCATCCTACGGAGCCATACAGCCTAGAAGACCCTAAGGGGCAGTTCTATTGTGTCACATGAGGTCAATATGAGTCAAAAATTGAGCTGATGGCACCTAACAATGACAACTCTCTCATATATAAAATTCTGTGCCCAAGCCCATCCTGGTGTGGTGCTTGCTGTAGGATAAGCACTGGACTACTAACTGCAAGGTCGGTGGCTCATATTAACTGTGAGTCGGAACCAACTCGATGGCACTTAACAACAACAACAACAATGGGAATTACACGTTAGTCCATGGATGTTAAAGCTTACTTTCAGTTCTGCTTCCCTTGGATCTCTGTAATATTAGCTCATCTACTATCCATTCTAGTATCTGAAGATTTCCCTATCCATGTCTGGACCTCAGCTATACAGTGTCACATTTCACCCTGCATTTGTCATGAGAGACAGGGGTCTACATTAATCTTTTTTCGTTACTATTACTGGAAGTCCAGATATTCTATTTGTAACAAATTTCCCTCTTACTAATGTTTATTCTTTGCCTTTAGAATAAACATCATATCTTTTAACAGAGAAAACAGATACAGCAAAAGTAGCTGGGCAGTTCCTTCTTCTGTTTCTGCAAAGGCTGCAAAGTTTTCTGCATTTTTTTCTTGATTTGGGTACATGGGGAACATTCCCCAGGCAGTAACTTGAGAGAATGCAATCATCTGCCAAGAGATGGAATTTTCCAGAGCTTTGTCTCTATTTTCCAGCAGCTCCTTCACTTCTCTGTGCTCCACAGAGGTGATCCCCGAGGAGAAACCTGCTCAATATTTGATTTACACCCTCTGCACTAAGAATGCCGAAGCGGCATATTGAGAACCTATCTCTGGAAGAAAACATTCCCAGGCCAGATTCTGAGCTCAGCTCTCCCTGCAAATCAACAGCTGGCTGGCGGCTGACCTATCTCCAGATCCTGGGAATTCACAGTTACTAGATGAATGGGATCGATCTCATTTGCATTTCATCGTGACTCAGGAATTCCCTAGTACTATGTCCCTGGACAAATTAAAGAGTGTTGATTTAATCTAAGGCCTTCATTCTCAGAATACCAGCCAGGGAGACATTCATTACCCTAGTGAGAGGACCCACACTCTCCTACTGAGAAGGAATAATCCACTTCAGCCTGTGGGAGGGTAGAGCCAATGTGAGAATGTTGTTGTTAGGTGCCGTCAAGTCGGTACCGACGCATAGCGACCCTCTGCACAACAGAACGAAACACTGCCCCATCCTGGGCCAACCTCACAATTGTTGCCACACTTGAGTCCATTGATGCTGAGACTTTGCCAATCCATCTCACTGGGGGTCTTCCTTTTTTTCTCTGACCCTCCACCCTACCAAACATGATATCCTTCTCCAGAGACTACTCCCTCCTGACAATATGTCTGAAGTATGAGAGACGAAGTTTGGCCATCCTGGCCTCCAAGGAGCACTCTGGCTGCACTTCTTCCAACACAGATCAATTGGTTCTTTTGGCAGCCCATGGCACTTTTCAATATTCTCCTCCAACACCATAGCTCAAAAGCATCAATTTTTCTACGGTCTTCCTTATTCACTGTCCAGCTTTCACATGCATATGAGGTTATTGAAAACACCATGGCTTGGATCAGGCCCACCTTAGTTCTCAAGCTGACATCTTTGCTCTTCAACCCTTTAAAAAGATCTTGTGCAGCAGATTTGCCTAATTTGTCGTTTGATTTCATGACTTCAACTCATAGCGACCCTGTATAGGGTTTGCAAGGAATTGCTGGTGAGGTTGAACCACCAACCTTGCAGTTCAAATGACTTTGCAGTCTGACGCATTAGCCCACAGCGCCACACTGGTGGAATGCAAATATGGCTCCTCTCAGAAACATATGGACCTGTCCAGGGCACTGAGAATGGATATTGACAGTGACAGTGAATCAACAGGGGACACTGTCCAGCTAGTAGGTTAGAAATGCTTTCTGAATTGTCTGTCACCTATGAGCCCAAAGGAAAGACCATGAGGTAGAAAATATTCATAGAAATATACAAGGCACAATACATACAATTTATACATACCATCCAAGGAGCCCTGGTAGCGTAGTGGTTACGAATCGGGCTGCTATTCTCACAGTCAGAAGTTCAAAACTACCAGCTGTTCCGCGGGAGAAAGCTGAGGCTTTCTGCTCCCATGAAGATTTATCGATTCGGAAACCCTGTATAGGGTCATTATGAGTCAGAACCGACTCAAAGACACATACCAACAACATCCAATGGTGATGACGGGGAAGGAGGAATTCTTGGCTTGCTAACATTCAGGTTGGCACCTTGAACCCAACCAGAGGCTCCATGGGGAAAGACTTGGTGATCTGCTCCCACAAACACTGCAGCCAGAAAACCCTAAGGGGTCTCTATGAATCAAAAATCAAGGTGGTGGCACCTAACAATAAAAATTCTCTCTATAGATATGAAATTCAGGCCTACTGGGTTAAATGAAGCTAAAGTTCCGAGTTGCCTGGCAGATAAGTTCTGTCTAATTAATGGCATTGCTGGGCATTAGAAGCATAGATGTCACTTGTCTCTTACATCATCCCTTTCAAGGTTTCAACTCCTCCTGGAGGTCCCTTCATATAGACAACAAATATTTGATTCAGAAAATAACTGAATGAAAAAAAGAAAAAAAAAAACAAAACCGGACTGGAAGGGGCACTGGCAACAAAAGATCAAACACAGCCTACCATTCAATTATGTTATTAGCGATAAGAAAAAGAAACTACTTTGTAAGACAGGAATAGTTGATGTGTGCTAGTTTTCAACCTTAGGTGCTTAACCCTTCTAGAAGGAGAGAAAACAATTTCTATATTGGGATAAAATGGCGCGCCTTGAGAAATGAAAACCAACTCAAACAACACATATCATTTTGGTAACAGGAAACTGTTCATTCTGTTAGTTCCCCATGGAGAGACCTGAGTGATCGTTTAACTATCAGTGGAAATCTTACCAAGACCCCAGGCTGCTGAGCCATCTCTTGCCTACTGCTGATAGTAATCAAAGGGGTGGGCTAGGTCAGATGATAAATGCTGATAGGGATGATTTTGTAGAATGCAGGGGATTGTGCTTTTGGAAGCAACTCTACATTATATCCACAGGTGGCTACAGACGGTGGATATAATGACTTTCCAAGTCACCTTTTTATCTCAGACATTCACAGTCTCCATGTCAACCTTGCTTTCCCCTGTGGATCAAATGGAAGCGGCACCTATGTAATGAGAAAGGCCCAAGCCTGAATGTGTGGCCGTCACGGCTTACCTGTTGAGATACACCCGCTTTTCGGTGAACTGTCCGTTGCCATGGTTAGGGTCCTCGAAGGGTTCGTTCTGGACAACCTCCACCCCTTCTCCTCGGTCACTCTGTTCATGGCTGTGCTTGCTGATCATGTACAGCTGTCCAATTTTGTACTACAAAACACAGAGACAGAGAGGTCAGCCCCTTTGTCTGCCTCCCACAAACCTCCCGTCAACCACGGCGCAACAAACAACGAATATCATCAGCATCCTTCTGCTGAAAAAGAAAGCAAATGTTTTTCATTTTCCTGGGGCCTAAGCAGGAGAGCCAAGTGTGTCTAGAATGCAGAAATGACGCTTTCCACAAACACTTTTCCATCACCTTTGCAAATGCTCACTGAGGTCTTTTAGGTTAGGCTGCCAACCAATCTGTCTTCCTATCCATTCTGGCCCTACTGGTTACTTGTACTTGCCAAAAGACAGTTTAGCCAAAACCATTGCTGTTGAGTTGCTTCCAACTCACCGAGACCTGACAGGACAGAGCAGAAATACCCCATGGGCTTTCCAAGGCTGTAAGCTCTATGGAAACAGACTTTCACATCTTTCTCACTCGGAGTGACTGATAGGTTCAAACTGCCACCAAAGTTCCTAAAAAGACAGGTTAGGGGGTGTTGTTTCTGTCTCTTCTTTTTGCCTAATTAACAGGAATGCTGGGACCAAGAGGAGTCAATGCCACCTGTCTCTTCTGTCATTTCTCTCAGTGTCTCACTCTGATGGAGGCCTCGGTTTGAGAGGCAGTTCTCCTAGATGGCTGGACATTGCAATCACCTGACAGCTTCCCAAAATTCCAGTGGTCCAGGCCTCACCATGACTGGATGCAAGTCAAGCATGTTCTAGACACTGAGAATCACCAACAGTATCTTTAGTTCCTTTTTTCCACTCCAACAGTAGTTGGAACCTTCCAGCCTGAGGTCCCAGAAGCGGCGGCGAGTGTCAACAGCATCTTGGTATCACCGATCAACATTCAGTAGGAATGTTTCCTGTCCTTCCTGCATTTTTGAGCTGCTCCACTCTCTTTGCTGCCTCTCTGAAAAGCCTGAGGCTAACAGACACTCATTCCCCAGTGGACTCCCAAAGTGGCAAACGTGATTTGATAGCGGGGACAAGAGGAGAGAGGAAGAGGGGAGTGAGTGAATGTCAGACACTTTTGCATTGGGGGACGGGTCTGCTTGGTGTCTGGAGGCAGGACCATGTGAGTGCTGTGGTCCTTTTAGCAGTCTGTGGAAAGTAACACAGACACCTCAGTGTTGTCACCGACCTGACATCTGGGCAGAGGGGAGGGGGCCTGAGTCTTCAGCAAGCTAACGAGGGCTCTGGGTCCTTCCCAGAGAGGTACAGGCCAGCAGAAGTGAGAACCACGTATTTTAACTAGGTGATGGGGGTGGTTAGGTGATGTGTACAAATCAACTGTGTGGTCAGTTTCAGAGCTGGAGGCAGCTCTGTCTCTCAGGGTTGGGCTCTGGGGCACACACGGATCCCAAGGGTCCTCTTTGATTCTGAGGCAGGTGCAGGGAGCTGAGTGGACCTGAAAGGCTTTGGTCTGTGGCCAGCCTGAGGGACCATGTAAGCCCAGTAACCATGACAATGGGTGGATGCCCTGCTACGTCTTCTCCACTGGCTGTGTTTCCTCTCCGTGCCCCACCCCACTTCGGAAAGGTCTGTGGTTAGAAGCTTGCCGTGTGCAGGTGGGTTGCATGCAAGCTTGCACATGTGCGGTTTGGGCACATGCTGGGTGATACGAGCAGAGTATGAGAAGAAAATGTAAACTAAAGATAAAAGAGATTTTTAAAACCAATTTTAAGATCAGAAGCTGGCCCTGGGTTTCCCTTAGTCCCTTATTGTTTTTACTTTAGCTCATAAGACTAACACTTTTTTATTTTTCAGGCTGAAGGACTTTTATTTTTTATTTTTTTAATGCTTTATTGTGAACTATGTGATAGTTTACATGGGAAGACATCAGCTTCACATTGATCCCATCGCATATCGTTTCCTTGCCATGGTTACAATCCCTTCCATGCATCATCTATCAACCAAAAGGTATACCCCACAAGCCTGCCCCCCTGTTGTCTGCACACCGCCCCTCTCTCTCTCTCTCTCTCCAGGTCCAAAGTCTCCAGCTGCTCCATCTCCCCACTTCATCGTCTCTGCCTCCATCCCTGGCATCACTGCTTCTCTGGGGAGGGGTCCGTTTTTTGCTCTTAAGACTAACACTCTTTTAAAGGCGGAAACCAGTAAGAAAAAGTTGACCGATTCGAGTTATGCCTGTAAGGTTAAGTCTATCTCATACTAAGGGGTGTGTGAGCCGGTAACAGGGCACTCAGCTGCCTATAGAGGAGAGAGGTATGACTGTCAGCTGCTTATAGACTGGGAGATTTCTTTGACTGGCAGTTGCTTTGCACTTGCTCTGTGTTGGGGGGTTGGGGGGAAGCATTCACTCACTGCTTCCGAAACCAGTTTACCAGGAGCTATTGAGTATATTCCAACACATGGCCATCCCATATGTCAGAGTAAAACTGTAGGGTTTTCAATGGCTGATTTTTTTTTTTTTTTTAAACAAGGAGATCACCAGGCCTTTATTCCACCTGCCTCTGGGTAAACCCCAACCACCAACCTTTGGGTTCCTGGCTAAATGTGTTAACTGTCTGTACCACTCAGGGACTCGGCTTCAGAAACAGACACCCCAAAACCTGTTGAGGACTTTAAGTGAACAGACTGGCAGTTAAGGGATGTTCAGCACTGGCTGTCTTCAGTAACTACAGTCTCTTGACATAGGAGAAATCAAGGACAGAATCAAGGACAGAAATCAAGGACAGCAGAAAAGCCATTAGCCAGGCTCCAGGTAGCTCAAGTGCTTCCGCTGGGTGGAGATGAGAGGGGAGCGGGCAGTTGATTCCTGATTCTGCAGGGCCCAGTGCCCTGGCTGCTGTACCACTGGTCCTTTCAGGGGCTGCTGACAGAGTCACACAGAGGCAGACCCTCAGCTCAGCTCACTGAGAGGTGACCAAAAGCCTGGATGCTCACTCTGGATGACGGAACAGTCAGTCATTCCAAATCAAAAAGGTAAATGTACCTAAGGACAAAGTTGAGAAAGGAAGGGAAGGTGGGTGCAATGGAAGTGGGAATCACAAGGAGACAGCGGGATAACTGTGGTTACAGGGAGGGGATTGCAGTCATTGAGTTGAAACAAAATGTATGCTTGTTAAATGTAAAACTGATGTACCTGTCTATAAAACTTCATTCAATTCACAATAAAAAGTTTAAAAAGAGAGAAAAATGTAAAAGAAAAAAAAAAAGATGGACGCAGGAACATAGGTGATGGTTCTGGGGGTGGAGGGACACTCAGGCCTGGGCTGTCACTTCCTTCCCTCACAAGAAAATCGGGCCTAGGAGATGGTGTAGAAGCAGGACATTGTGTTGCCCCTGTTTTGTTTTCAAATCCTAAAAAGACTTGCAGCCACAAAGCATCAGTTGGGAGGAAGGGTGGGAGGCTAGTCCTTGGTTCACCTGGCTCAAATCCCCAGAGATACTTCTAACAATGTTGAATTTGCCATTCCAGACCTTTCTCATGCAGACTCCAGAGAGAGAGGATAGGAGTCACATTCAGATGCACGCTAAATGCTGACATAGAAGCAGAAGGCTGTCAAGCTCAGAGTTCAGGGGGGCCAGAGGCTAAAGCGTTTGCTCTTGAGGAAGTCTGTTTCTTTTCCCTTCCTTCATATTGCTTTCTTGCAAAGCTCCATCCCTAATTCAGTGAAAATACTAAATTCTTGATCATCTCTCACCAGGCTTGTATATTATATGACGACTGGGATCGTCCAAAGACTCAGGAGGGTTCAAGCTCATCAGCTGCTCCTTGGAAACCCTAGACAGGGTCGTTATGGGTTGGAACTAACTTGATGGCACTTAATAACAACAATAAATGTTGCTGGTGTGGCTCTGTAATATAAGGACTGGACCTCAAGGTCAGTTTGAATTACGAAGTTTGCAGTTCAAACTCACCAGCCGCTTCTTGGAAACCCTATATATACATGGTAGATATGAGTCAGAGCAGATTTGATGGCACTTAACAACAATGATGTCAAGCAGTGTTTAGTGACACTTCCAGCTAAGATGGACTAGGGATAAAGGTCTGGGGATCTACTTTAGAAAATCAATCAGTGCACGCCCTGTGGATCACAACAATCTGCTCCATAACCAATCATGGGAGGGCTCAGGTCTTGGGAGCATCAGTATTCCACGGTGCATGGGGCCTACATACTCAGCAACACCTAATTGCAACAGCGATTTAGACCTGGTATGGTGCAGTAGCCTTAGCATTGGACTGGACTGCTAACGCTCCTCAGAAACCCTGTACAAGGTCACACTGAGTTGGACTCAACGCCACATTGTTGTACAGGGTCACACTGAGTTGGACTCAATGCTGCACTGTACAAAAACATTAGTACAAAGCACCAATTAAGTGCTTTATATTTATTTCTAATGCAACAATTGGGCCAAGCAGGTATTTACAGTTTAGGAATCTGTGTTTCAGGTTGAATACCTTACTTGCCTATTTTGTTGTTGTTAAGTACCCTTGAGTCAGTTCCGACCCATAGTGATCCTGCAAGGAGCATGTGGTGAGCTTGAACTGCCGACCTAACGGAGCAAACCAACTTTGCAGTCCAGCGCATTAACCCGCAGTGGCACACCAGGACTTCCCTACGCCATAGGTCTGTACTCTTTTCCACCATCCTATTTTCTTTAACAGGTGAATTGCTTAAACTATGCTTTTGAAAAAGGTCAGGAAGCCTCTGAACTTTGCTATTTCAAAAGACGAATAACAAAAGTCTGATATCATTTGAAAGATCAAAGTTATTTCAACTGTGCTCCTGTGTGGAATTGCTGGAGCAATTATGCGCTAACTTTGTCAAATCTATTGTTATAATTCCGGAGTTTGGGTAATCATCATTACAGGCAATCACGATTAGCAGCAACAGCTCTGTGCTGCAGGCGGAGCCTGGGGGTGAGCTATCATCAGAGCAACCACCCCAAATAATTATCTTGTAGTCAAAAACCATCATGGGGAGCCAGAGCTTTCCCACTAGCAAGGCGCTGCTGCATGCCTGCATTCCAAA